AAAGTTGGTAAGACGTTCTACAGGTGGAAACTACGAGGACTGCGTTGGAAGCACGCAAGTTATTGCGAGGAGGAATGTGGGGGCGGAAATTGCAGGAAAGATTAGGAGGGATGGATCGGATCGAACTATGGAAAAGAGGAGACAAGTAAGTAAGATATATTCTTCTGTCATCCGCGGACAGCCAGCTCAATGAGCGGTAGTGCTCAGAAACATGCTCGTTTCTACGCAGATTTAAAATAAAACGCAGGCGTTCATCAATCTTTTTAGCTTTGTTTTTTGCTTTACCAGGTTAAGTCGGTGAAGACAGTCGCGCGGTAATTGAAGATTGGAAAAATCAACGAAGTTACAAGCTGAATGCGCAGGCGAGTCGAAAGGCAATTTTTATGATAATTTAATCTCCGTAAGACGCCCTTAACGCGATTTGAGACCTTTTTGGCCTACTCGTTCCAGCTCAAAGTGCAGGTAATACAAAGACCAAGATTAGTCACTTTATTAGTACTAGAAGATTAGTATTAGAACTACTTATTAGTAACTAGAGAGAGAGAGAGAGAGAGAGAGAGAGAGAGAGAGAGAGAGAGAGAGAGAGAGAGAGAACGAACGAACGAACGAATAGGAAAGATCAGCCATTTCCGGATACCATTCCATCTGCTTTAAACTGTACGGATTCGTCGCGAGCTTTCCTTCGTTTCGCTCACGATCAAACTCGGGCGAGCTTTCAGGGATGTTAGTTGATATATAAAGCTTTATTAATGGACTAACGCCCGCCGTTGCAATACCCACGGCTAGCACAGAGCTGGCCAGAATGATGCGTTAGCTCACTTACCGGAAAACGCGTCGCTCGACTCGTTCATCGGGTGCTCCGCAAACTAGGTGTGGCACTTTTCTACAACGATCGGAGCTTAATCGTGTTTAGTCACGGCGCGTCAAGCTGTGCGTCGTTTCGACGCAAATTGTGTTGACGGGAATATATTGTTTCGACGAAGAGAGGGAAAGTCAGATATTTTCATTATATGATAGAAATTTTAAAAAATAAAAAATTCTGTATAGGTAATACATATTGAGAAAAAAATGTTTGCAATTATCTTAATTTAAGTACAATTTAGTTCTCATTTTTGGTGCTAATTATACGTATATTTTTCAGTAGAATCGCAAATATGATAAGTGAATCAATAATTAATCCTAATTCTGCCCTCAACAATTAAAATAATGTATATTAAGATTATAGGTTTTACTCCAATTATATATTATTATTATTATAGTAGTAATAATTATAAAACTGGAGCTTCTAACCATAATTATTTTACCATAAAATTATAGTCATAAATATCAAATATTTTTCTCTTGGTGAATCTGATATCGACATTTTTTAATTATAATAAAAAAAGAAATAGATTAACAACCGACGAACAATAAAGGCAAAGACTCGATTTTCTAGTTCTGTAGTAGCACGCATTGTATTTTTCGATCCCGAAAGATAACAACTTTCTCGCGCGAAACAAGGAACATTGATTTACGCGCGAATGATATCACGTACGTGAATGTCTGCTATAGATCCTAAGTATCCACCGGAAAATTATTCGCGACTTAAACAAGCACCGTCAGAGCTATCGCTACTATTACTGGCACCACTAACACCATCACCACCACCGACACCGTCACTGCCATTATCACCGCACCACAACTCCCATCGACGTCGCCGACGTTACCGTTCGTGCTTCTGACACCGCGGCAATACACCGGCGACTTATGAATATTTACGCTAGTTGAATATGTATACTACTGACAATGTATTATTTTTGCTCGACGGGAGATCAATATACTACTGCACGACACACACACACACACGCGCGCGCGCGCGCGTGAGGGCAGAAGTGTACAACGGAAGCGCGTGCACAGGGTGTTCGAGTTTTATCGTACTAACTGCTATTAGCAGATTTTGCGCTAAAAAAATATAGAGACACAAAATGAAACTTTGTTTAAAATAGAAACGCGTGGGAAAAACTTTTGTCTTTCATTTGAATTAAAAAGAAATTTGACTCGACAGGAATGATTTGATTTGAAATTTTATCTCGTTCAAAAGGTTGACATGTATGAAGTTCGAATAAACGATGGTTTTTCATAAAACTCTCAATTTTGTAAAGATTGACTTTTGACGATTGATACACAGTGAAACAGCATCGTATATATATATATATATA